GGGAACCAGATACACACGTTTGATCCGGACCAGTTGCCTTATAGATTGTAAGCAACAACGAGGACCGTAAACGATGTTGGGCAATCGATGGCCATCAAACGGGCGATGATCGTACGAATTTGCTTCGATATTGCCTAGTTTGCTAGTGTTCAATACACTCAACTGCGTTTATAAACAGGTTATAAACAGAGTTTATAAATCAAATCCACAATTGCTTTGAAACGAGAATGAGGCCGATTTTTCCTTCTCAATTAGTCTATTAATAAATCCTATCGAGCTTTTACGCCAATAAAATTTAACATTAATTAAAAGTAATTATTTATTATGTAATGATTGTCAAATGTCAATAAATAAAACATTTCTAAATCACAAAAAAGTCAATATTAAAGTCAGCAATTATTTATTTTGACATCGTCACAATGCCGGGCTGCAATTTTAATCATATTTTTAATTTAATTTAAAATATATGCTTTCCACTTTAAATTAGTAGTGGCTTGACCTTGTACATCATACTTTTCCTTTAAAAATACAGTGATGCAGGTCATCTATTAACTGGTTTCCGGGAGAAGTTTTGAATTGAAAACTTCCGTCTTGCATCGGAAGTTTACAAACGGAGGCTCCGACCTCAAAGGTTTCCACATCTGCTCTCGGGTTTTATCTATCTAACCCTGTTTTCGAGATTAAGAAGGACAGACGTACGGACGACAGTAAAAATTTATAGATCTACATTTTTTTTTTTTTTTTCAAATTGCAGCTCAATTAAGAGGAAGATAACGAACAATTAAACATAATATTTAAACTTACCTTAATTATCTATTCGTAACAGTCTGAATATTGAACATATTATTTGCAAATAACAAACGATTTTATTTTTTTACATATTCAATATTGTTATTATGAGTGACGTGTATAATTTAACATGGACACTTATCTCAGTCCATGTTTGGCCCACCAGTGGCCAACGGTCTTCGTTCCCTGAACACTGGGAGTTCGGTCGAGGGTTTGCGCCTCGCTCGAACGAGCTTGCCACGTGGAGTTTTCCGGGTTTTCTCCACGTCTGTAACGCCTAAATAGTGGCCAGTTTCCCTTAAAAAGACCTCCCGGAAGGCATCCCCCTAGGCAGATTGCCCAAGTGTTGCGTTGCCATAACCAAACAAAACAAACAAACAGTCCATGTTACTGTAACTGCTGTAATCATAAATATAAATAGTACATAAATGCAGTTTTGTAATCATTTCTCACTGTTCCCAGAACAGACCTGCAACGACACATTTTATAGTTTAAACATTTATGAAAATGTTCTGAAATATTAGCGGTTTGCTGTAAATAGTAGAGGAGAAGATGGTATTATTTTTCCCCATTTTCATTATAGTGAATTGTAAACAAGGTATCATGACTACACCCACATTTTTTGTGCGAAAAGTACTGGTAACTATTAAACTACTGATGTTCCTAATTGGATTTTTCGCTAATGTAACTATAAGTATGGTTTTTGAAGGCATACAACATACAAAAAGTCAGAAAGTAGGCTTAGGGAAAACCGGGTGGTAATATGGAACTTAATATATGTTTTTAAAAAATGCTTTAGTGTATCCAAAAACAAATAGGAAAGTACAAAGAATGTTAAATAATTACAAAATTATTTACTCCCATGTATTTTATCGCAAAAATTATTTAATAATAATAATAAAGAAATGTACAATGAAGAAGCTAATCATTTACAAAAGTCACAAATATAATGCTCCTATAGTGTTAGGTAACTATTTTTACTTTTTTTATTTTCCTTCTATTTTTTCATTCATCTACCACATACTTTTACAAAAGTTAGACGGGTTCCATATTAATTAAAAGCACCAATGGGGTCCGTATTTCACGCATCGCCATCTTGAATTAACTTATGTCTGTCAAGACCAAACTTTAAAAAAACGTGAACATCACACAGATTAAAATGTACCCCTAAGTTTCTGGAACGGAATACATGCACCATGAACTTACAACTACACAATTTATATTTTAGAAATAATTAAATTTACTTAGCATTCAAAACTTTAGAATTAGAATTTCGAAAAACAAATATGCTAATTCACTACAAACAACTGTTTAACTGAAGTGAAACGGGTTTTCCCCTTGCTATGGATATCTGCCTAGTGCAGTTCAGCCACAATCCGCTACAGTTCGCCTTTATTATCTGTTTGAAATAGAGGGGTTCCGTAATACCTACAGAGTTCCATAATACCACCTTCTCCCTATACAAGTGGCCCATAACTGTCGGTCTATCTTTCAGCGTAACGAGTCAATCGTGTGCCTGACAATCAATATACGTTACATGTACAGTACACAGTAGCGTAGCGTGGGTGTCGGCCGCCCGGGGCGGAGGAAAATTTCACCCTCCCTTATTTAGGTATCTCAATTTAAAAGACTAAAATTCAGTTTCGTCACAGAATAAGTAATGAAAAATTCCGTGCTAGTGTTGCCACCTTTTTAAAATCGCCGACCCGGACGGCAGGTGAGGTTTGTTCGAACAGAAGTTCCTGACACATGCGTATATCATCTTGCAATGAGAAGAATAATGTGCAGTGCATGCTGGTTCTAAATCAGTTACAGTTAGCGACTAGGGAGACTTGGATAGGAGTAACGCAAGTGACCTACCTCTATTGGATTTTGGATGTGTATATGATTCCGAATGAATCGTACAAGCAAAAAAAAAAAAAAAAATCGACAGGTTGCGCACGATATCCCCGGCGGATTGTCAGAAGTGCGATATTCCCCATTTTTATATACAGTATATTTTTTAATCGTTTATAATTTAGATTATTTAATTGCTCCTTCCTCTCTTCCTTGGCATGTTGTGAAATTTCTGATAGTTGGATAATAAACCGTTTTATTGTAATTTGTCTTTTTAAATTATTTTGAGTCGATATTAAAATTTGGAAAAGGGGGGATACCTAGATCGGTAAAATACGCGAATTTCTTCCTACAACTTCGGTTGTTGTTCGGGGTACAGTTAAGGTTTTAACGAAGTTCGAGCGAATACATAATTAGCAAAAAAAAAGTTGAAATAAAGTGATTAAACAAAAATTATTACAAATATCGTAAATAACAAATGCATATATAGAGATATTTTTTGGAGGGGGGAAATGGTCTTCACAATTTGAAATCCATCGAACACAGAGTAAAATGCTCGCGTATACACGCGCGCCATCTATCGTAGGATACTATGCCGTAGTGTATTAAAAACCTTCCAAAGTTTCATGGCAATCGTACTATGCCAGAAACCTTCGCGGGAGTATATTAAACAACTTCCCAAAGTTTCACGGCAATCGGATAAACGGTGTGGTAATGCATGAAGGACAGACCCACACAAACACATACATTCATTTTTATATATATAGATATTCTAGCTCGTTGGGCTAAACAAATGACGACATAAAAATAATTCTTAATTTTTGGAGGTGAAAAGTGAAACAGAAAATCCAAATAATATTGGGGCTAAATAATTTACTTATTTATTTTGATAAAAATTAATAATTTTAATTAAGTTTAATGTAATTATAAAATTGAATATTTTATAATCGAAAAGAAGTAGGTGGCGAAAAGTCGCATATTTATGTTTGTTTAGAGCGTTTCGTAAATTGGTAAACGTGTTTATAAATCCTCCTTTACATAAATACAACTAAAGAATTACATAATAGAATCGTTTATTACGTATTGTAGTACCTTGATCTTTTTCTTAACATTGATTCTTATAAATATACTGAAATCTGATATCAGTGCAGATTGACTCAATTAGATTATAGTTTTGGAGTTAAATAAGTTGTTTAAATTGTAATTTCTTGCTAAAGTCGTTTATAAATGTTTGAGGTATTATAAAATTGAAAAAAATGATATAAATGATCCAGTATATTATAAGAAAAAATTAATGATTCGAGAAATTATGTTTTTTATTGTTGCCATTTATGCTTCTTGAAGCATTTATACAGTAATATTTCACAGTGGCACGTTATCCTATGGGCAATTGCCTAGGGGCCCCACCAATAGGATCCCGGACCAATCTTTTATAAGAAAATATTTCCCCAAAACATTCCCCTGAAGAAAAATGTCTACACTGTATATGGAGCCCTTTAATTCAAATTTGCCTGGGCCCCATGAAGCTATAATGTACCACTGATTTCAAACCAGATCATGAAAGTTTCAACATTCTTGATCTGTTAATAGATAATATTGTCTGAAATAGGTTCAAGAATGGAAAGGTTTAGTTAAAATTTTATTTTTACAGAAGCTTATTGTATATTAAATTTATAATTATCAAGCATAATAACAGATTTTGAATCTAATAAAATAATTATTCAGCATTATGGATCATGATGAATCTCACACAAAATATCTTTATACTGGAATCACAATTATATACATTAACATAAGCCATGAGTTTACAATTAAAGTTTATAACATCATTACCATTAAAATTTGACAGATAAATTTTATAATCACTATGTAAAGATACTAATTTTGACAATGATTATTTGACATATGCAATGGTAATTTTCACATTTTTAGTTTTTATGGATGGACTACTTTAATAATCACCCTTACTAAATTGTATACCTAGAAATAGATTTTGAAATACAATAAAAATTCATTACTTAAAGTCATTTGTAAACAGTTAAACAATTATAATTACTATTGCTATTAGTATTCTATATTTGCAAAAATAAGATTAGAGAAGCTAATGATTTCTTTTATTTTTGAAGACATTTTAAGTATTTTTATATTTTGTGTCCAAGCAAAATGCTATTAGTACAGGACATACAGCTATATACAATATATAATATTTAAAATTTTGATACTAAAATTGTAAGAATTATTTGCAAATAACAAAAATGATGAATAATCTAGTAATACATATGTAGATTTTCTGAAATATTAATTTATATAAATAAATGTTCTAATTTTTTTTTTATAAATTAAATATTACTAATTTTTACCTTTACTACTTACAGAGAAAATGAGTGAACAAATCAAGTTTATTGTTCAAGAATTGAACAAAGAGCCATTTAATAAAAAGTTTAATTTAATTAGTTTTGATGCATTACGTAGTGAACAGCTATTACAGTTATTAAACTCTGTCTTTGCTGAAATAGATTCTAAAGTAAGTTTAAAATTATTGATTCATAAAAAAATATTGTTTAAAATATAATTTTAAATATTTCCTTAACACTTTATAGATGAAAATGGATATAAAGACAGAAGATCCAGAAAATCTTGCTGTGAGAACATTGGATTTCTTAAGAGTCATGAAATACAGACCACCTCCAGATATGGATTTGTCAGTAGTATTTATAAACAGTTTATTTTTATTAAATTTTCAAGAAAGTATTTAAAAATAGTTTAAAATAAAGTATTAAGGTTATAAAATAAAGTAAGAATAATTGATTCATTTTTACAGAAGTGCTTTTAGACAAGGCATTGTTTCTGGTGATAAAGCTGTTGTACATCACATTCTTGAATGGATACTTCGTCGTTTACCTGAACTTAAAAAACGAGCATATTTGGCACGTTACTTAGTAAAAATTGAATTAGCTCCTGATGTAGAAGGTGATTCAGATGTTTTAGATATGTATGAACAGGTAGTATATTGAGATATAAATTCTTATATATTTTATATAAACTTATAACTTTTAAATTTTATTTTCATTTATTTTATAGTATGAACAATTAATAGAAGAATTTAAAGAAGTGCATAAGCAATATGAATCATTACGTAATAGTGGATTTTCAACTCAGGAAATTCGTAAAGATATTGGACATATGGAAGAAGAGAGAGAACAATTGACCAAAAAGATTGATAGATTAAAACGAAAAGTAAATATACTTAAAAATTTACCTATTATGAAATTATTTACTTTTTGATTTTTATTATTTGGAAGGATAGAAAAAAAAAGATATTGTAAATGAACAGAAACAATTGTAATGATTACATAAAGCATGTACTGTAATTGCATATGAGAGGTTTATTCAGGTGGTGCTTATGGTGCTGTATTACCTTCTGATACCAAAACAATGTTTTGTTAATTTAAAATAAAAATAATAAAACATACTGTATGGACTTCAGTTAAGTAAGATTAGGTAATTAAGTTGTAAAGTAAATATACTTAAAGGTAATTATATATACTATAAGGCAGGGATGAACAGACTTGTTAAGACCAAGGGCCACATACATCCACTGCAACTTACAGGAGGGCTGCCAAAAAAAAAAGAAAAAAAATTGAAAGTTATATACCATATATTGTTTATTTTATTTATACTTATCATAATTGTTACAAAAAAGATAATAAAAAGGGACTTTAATTTGATGCATGACATTGCATTGATTTGAGAATTGTTTTGATGTTTGGTTTGAGTTTTGTAGTAGCCAACTGCAAAATTGATTCTAAATTTTTATCAGTCAAGGAGTTTCTATTTTTCAATTTGTTAATATTCATGACTGAAAAAGTTTGTTCACAAATATATGTTGACGCAAAGAGGCTTGCACATTTTAATGCATCATCTAGCAACAATTTATAATTGTTTTTATTGACACAAGTATAGAAGTTTAATAAATTGCCTTCATTAAATTTATTTCGCAGGTTCTCATCGTTTTGCATGTTGACGAGTTCAAGCTGTACTGATTCAGGTGCATTTTCAGATGAAATGGCAAAAGGGTTGCTAAATAAATTTAGCAATGGTTTTACTTTTTGAAAATCAGAAAAATGATCCTTGAAGGCTGATATCAATTTATCTATCTTTTCAACATACTGTATACAGTTTTGAAGTTGACATTAAACTTTTCAGAAACTTTCTTGTAAAGCCAATTGAAGTCAGAAAAGACAAAATATGGCTGTAAAGTTGAGTAGCCGATTGATCTTTGCCATGAAGTTGCATATTTATCATATTTAAATTATTAGTAGTGCCAACCAGAAAAGCTAAGTCACATAACCAATCCGGATTGTTTATGTCAGGGACATTTCTGTTTTTTTTTTCAGTTATGAAAATTTCAATTTTATCAATTAAATTTAGGAGCTGCTCCAATGTTTGACTGTGACTCAGCCACCTCACTTCTGTATAAAAAATTAAGTCACCATATTTGTTTTCAATGTCTTCAAGAAACTTTTAAACTGTTGGTGATTAAGGCCATGGGATTTTATAAAATTAATTGTTGAAACCACAACTTTCGTGACATGTTCAAATCCAAGTTTCTTAGGGCACAAGCTTTCCTAGTGGATTATACAGAGGAATTGTATCAGTTCATCATCATGTTGTCCCAAATGCTGTTTCAATAATGTTACCAATCCAGAATTTGCTCCTATCATGAAAGGAGCTCCGTCAGTTGTGATACCTGATAATTTCGTCAGTTCTAAATCAATTTTGGAACACTGCTCCAAAAGCCCAGTGAACATGTCACTACATTTCATTTGTTCTGACAATAATCTCATTCCAATCAGCTCCTCACTCACCTCAAATCTGTGTGTTATTCCACATGCAAATATTAAAATAACAACTGGACTGGAAAGTAATGCCAGTTGATTCATCAATAGCCAATGAAAAGTAAGCAAATTTCTTTGAATAAGATGTTAATTGATCCTTTACTTTTTCTGACATTGCAGTAATTCTTCTTTGCACAGTCATCCTGTTTAACTGAATTTTCTCAAAATTTTTGGCTGATTCCAGACAAAGGTTTTCAACAGCTATCCCAAGGCAATCTGTAATGAAATCTCCATCTGTAAATGGTTGACACCTTTTTGCTGTAAGGAGAGATATTTCAAAACTTATTTCTGTTGCAATTTCCGAATCTTGAATAGGTTTTGTAAACATCACTTGATGACCTGCCAATTCTCATTTCAAAAATGAAATCTTTTGTTTACATAGTTCTTTGAGTAGTTTTTAAAATGTAGAATGCAGACTTTCGTAGTGTCTCCTCATATTGTATTCTTTGGGACGGCTCCAGCTCTTTGCAAATCAAGCACATGATATTATTAAACAACTGCACAAAACAATATTTTTCGATCCAGCTATCCTGAAGCTGCCGTTTTTCATCTAGTACTTTACATTTTCTGCTTGGTCCTGCTTTATCCATTACAGAATTTTTTTTACCTTTTCCAAGGGGTGATAATTAATTGTAGCAACCACACCTAAGCAAACAAAATACTCTTATGACAAATAGACAAATTATAAACTTTATTAACATTATTACTAACCAATTATCATAAGTAGATAGGCAATAGATACTTACAAGGTTGATCAAAATACATTAAATAACAGTTATTTATGTGAGATTCAATCTGTGGGTCAGTCGATAAGACTTGACCCTTCTGTAGTGCCTGGATTGGTGAGATCTGGTCTCAATGTCACTGGATGGTTTAATGTAAATAGGAGGGATATTGAGGAGTGGTCTGGTCGTAAGTAAGTTGATAGGGTGATCAGTTTGAACAATTGGAGTCAATGCCAGTTTAATTAAACAATAACTTTAATAGGAAAATAAAGCAATTTACAATAACTAGCTACGATTACAAATATATATATATAGCGTATAGCACATGCATCCCTATATGATCTGATATCTATGGGATATATACTGCCTTTAAACTTAAGACCTAGGTGTTGACCTAGGTCTTAAGTTTAAAGGCAGTATATATGAGAAAGAGTTTACATTTCTTTAAGTAAAATACCTCTATGGGACTGATGTCCCTGCTTTAGGCATTTTGCAACAGGTTCGGAGGCGAGACGTTCAGAGAAACGAGTCGGCCTGGAGAATGGATGGACAGGAGTCTTGGGCCACCAGCTTCTAAGGTGGAGTCTGCCGTGACAATCGAGTTCAAGCCCTTTTTATTCTCCCCAGAGCATGGGAGTCAATTCAGGTGATTTTGATTTAATGTGATCTAAGTTTGAGATGTGTCACTGGTCCGGCTGATAAGGGCCATGCGGCTTTGATGGATTGTTGATATCTTTTCCAGTGCTCTGGCTCTTTTTACCCTATAAGGCAACAAATTTGAAGTTCTTAGATGTCACCATCGAGGTGTAGTGACTCTTCTTACCTCATAATTAAACTGATTTGGATGTTTCCTCTTATTAATAACCATATGTTTAGCTTTTCTTGACACTTATTCAAAACATCATTAAAATTGTGTACAGTCGACCCCCCCTATAACACGATAGATACGTTCCGTTCTTTATGAATCCATTTTGTACAAGTCCTTGCCAATCAAAGCCCAGCATGTATGCACTTTACAGACTACGGCTGTTTGAAAGGTTTTCTTCCATAAAATTAATCGATTCCTAGACTAATTCGACTTAACATTTCCAAAACACGTATAATTTTTTGGGAATAATCCGTATAAACTAGGATTACTTACCGAGTGTGCACTGTTTGACGTCGCCATTGCTTAAGCTTGTTTTCGTCGCGGAGCAGCGCACCAAACAGCGGCTGCGATTTCTGATAAGTTATTTTTCTGCGAAAACTTCGTTGAACTTTGGAGACATCATTAATATAAATAATTTTTATGGCCGTTGAATAAGAAATGTTTCTTTCACAAGAAATGTTTAAATTACAGTACTGTATTAGACTTACGGTACCTAATTCACATACTGTACAGACGATAGTAAACTCAACTTACTCGCCTAAACTCTCCGTAGCGTGGCGCTGGACGGTGGAAAGTAGTTCGGCTGCCCGATGACGTTTTACCGAATTATAGGAGTTTTTTTACCATGTTTGTATGGATACCGTCACAATTTTTTCGCCGTCATATAGGAATCCGAAATATAGGAACCCGTGTTATAGGGGGGTCTACTGTATTTGTATGGTTATTTGATCGTCCTTATCTATTGGATCAGAGGTCACCAACAATTCCAGGTGGTGAGGAAAGAAAGTGGGTTTTTTCCACTTCTGCATTAACTGCATGTTAGTTTAACTAATTAATCTAATTATTTAATTGCCCCCTCCAGAATTTCACATTTATCTTTATTGCCAAAAATTCAAACACATCATAAAATACAATGCAACATAAAACCATGTGGATGGCGCATGCATTGACAACTGAATGATAACGGTTGTCCCTGGCCTGCACACATGCCACTCCTAGTGCCACAGCTACTTTGCTGTGAACATGTGCAAATTTTAAAAATTACTTATTATGTGACTTGTTAAATTGATGCATAATTAATTATATAATGTTTTTTAAATCCAGTTTTTGTTAAAAACTCATTTATTTTTATAGTGTATTCAGTTAAAGATATTGTTTCTTGTTCAAACAAAGAAAACCTTAAACAACCACTTTACCAGAAAACTGGAACTGTACATGTTGAGAATCACACCTAAATGATAAATTTCTGAAAGAAAACCTGAAGACAATAGCTTCAGTCACGGGGGAGATAGCTATCTTGCCAGATGTGTTGACTTTACTGAGTATACTGAAATAAATTACCAATTATTAAGTCACTCATTGCATTGTTAAAGGTGGAGACTGAAAAAAAAATTTCTATTGTATATATTATTACAAAATTTTGTGAACTCATAAAAGACATCCAATAAAACATAAATAACTTTTATTTGAATTGATTGTGGGAATTTGAAGCTGCATTATTAATTTTTAATTAATAATATTTTTCAGTTTGTAATCTTTGATGAGCAATTTTCTCTTTTTAATGCATCCTTTTTCTGTCTTTACTTCTGAGCAGACATTATTCAATTATTTCATTTGTGTATATTAGTGTTCTGCAAATTTTCCTTGAGTGTTTCACAGAAAAAAAGATTTTATTGCAAATTTACTTTAATTTACTACAACATATTACCATATTCATAAACAATTCCATGTTTTATTTTATAAAATACATTAAAGTTTATTAGTTTATTGTTTCATTGTTTCCTGAGAATAATAAACATGAAATTGCTTATAAATTTTTGATTATGCTCCATGTAATAAAAAGTATATGAGTGGTGTTCTGTGGCCTCTGAAATGTTAATAACCACTAGTGTATATTGTGAGCTAACAAGAAAATATAATAAATACCAGTTATATATACCAGAATAAAAATCTTTGCAAAAATTCTTCAAACACACCATTATTCCTGTTATTTTTCCTTCTATTCTTAATGATATTCCTCATCTCTCTTTTTAAATTTGAATCTTTTGGGAACTTGTGCATTGTAATATATTTTAATTTCTCTTGTTACTATAATGAAAAACAAAACAACATTGACGAAATTTTGATTTTATTTTTACTGATGTATATAGTTTAATATGACTTTATCCCAATTGCTAAAATTTCTAAAATGGCACATGATGTCAGTTACTTTCTTTTTGACTGTACTCAATATGGTGTAATAAAATTTCTCTATATATGCAAAAACATTGGATTAAAATGTTATTATTACAGTAAATAAATGTTTTAAACACATTTCAACATTTTCTGTTAACTTTTAATTTTGCACATTTATCTAGGCAATCATCTCAGACTATTTGGTATGAAGCAAAAATTTGTGTGAAATTTTATGCGGTAACTACTGACATACAACCCGTACCTAACACCAGACCATGCTGTACTTATATAAATAAAGAATGAAACAATTTCTGTTAAATTTCACTTACCTATATGTACCTCCGCACGTTTCTGGATAAGGCCAATACCAACATCTTTGCCAATGGCGACCAATAAATGTTTCTGTTCCATTGGGTTCTTTGCATGTTACTGTTTTAGAAACTTGATAGGAACACCAGTTTCTATATCATATAAACAAATTAAAATACAGTAATACTATATAATAATGTATTAACTTTTAATCTTATAATCATTATACATTAGTGTATCACATAACATTAAAAANTGTCTAGTTAAAACTAGAATTTACTGCTAGTCAAAAATGAATTTGAGTTAAAACTAGTTTTAACTAGACAAAACGGGTTTTAACAAAGACATTCAGTATAAATTAGTTTCAACTAGTTAAAACGCGTTCTAACTAAAAACGGGTTTTGACTGTAACATATATATATATATATTTTTTTTTTAATTTTTATTCACTGCTTTTTGCTTTCTTTCCTTCAATTATATATATATATTTTAATTTTTCTAAAATGTTTCTAAAATGATTTAGGCAAATGTCATTACTCCGAGCAGCAATACGGCCAGTGTGAACCTTTTCAGGATGTTTCTTTTCAATAAAATCAGTCACTTTCTGATAATACCTCAAGATTTTTTTTATCAAGTGAGATCCTTCCATGATGAAGCAAACGTGCAGACTGAGACCAATGAACAGAAGTGAATAAAAAATGGTGCTGCAGACTAATGTAACGTTGTATGGTGAGTTTTTGTTCGTATCGTGGAGCAAAAATATGTTCGAATTTCATGTCGTATCCTGAAAATTTCATATGCCGGGGCGTTCGTATCCTGAGGTACAACTGTAATATAATTCAAAAAGCAACCAAATTTGAATCCAAAATTTTGGTATTTTTGACAATTTGTCATCTTTGAAAACTGTTAACAATTTTAAAATGCATATAATTGTATTCACAAAATTTTTTTATAATTTTTACTTAGTAATTTAGTTATTTGTTAATTCATTATTACTGATCTTGTTTAGCTTTCTTATTGAATAACTTTTCTATAATAGTTTTTTAATGTTGGTATTCTTTTCAAATCTTGGAATTTAGCAAGATCTCGAGAAATAATGCATTTCAGAAAATCTATGCACTTGTAGCTAGAACTATATTTAAGATGATACAGTAAGAAGAGGCGTGCGACCGACCATAGATGGGAAGCGGGGGTTATGTTTGGGAGACAGAATTGGAAAATAAACACGACAAGTAAAAAAGCGCTAATGGTTGCACGTGGTGGGGATGGGTTGGTCTATTTAGTTCAAGGGGTTGTCGAAGAATGATTTCCATGCGGAGGAGAGCGAGTCTGCATCTCTGCTGTTGATACAACCGTCTTTGAGGGATTGCTTAAATATTTCAATTGTTTTGATCGTTCTAAGCTTGGTGTAGTCGCGCATAGGAATAATAATCTTCGCCTCTTCCCATTTGGTCGTTATACCAGGTTCGCTTGCAAACTGGGCTAGGGTGGAAGTGAATCTTTTGTTGTATGCGTCGTACTTGTGCTCTGCTATCCTCCATTTAAGTGATCTATTGGTTGAGCCAATGTATGTTAGCCTCTTGCACGGGTAAGATCTGCTGCCCTCTAATGGGACCGTGTAGACTCCTGGTCTCCTGGCTTTGCTGCATTTCTCCTTGGTATTAGCTAGAAGTTTATAAACCGTAGGGCTGCATCTGTATGCGAGAGTAGCATTGACCTTTTTTGCTATGAATTTAAAGGCACGGCTCATTCTAGGGTCAAAATTGACAGTAATGCGCTTACTTTGTTGCTTTAGAGGTTTGGAATTGACATCTTCGGTTGTTAAGCCTCTATGAATTTTTTGGGCAAGCCTATCAATAAACTTACTGTTGAAACCGTGGTCTGTGCCGAGGTGCTTAATGTGTTGGATTTCTCGTAGCGCATCCTTAATGCTAGAGCAATTTTTCCCCAACTTTAGCGAGTATCCCATCACAAACTATCTGCACACCCCCTTTTTTACCAGAAGAAAGAAGTTTTGTCGCCCTCGGTGTCGTCTATACCTATCATCAACGATGACATCACTGGTAAGACGATACCAGGGTATCCATTGACAGCATTTAAACTTCTACCAACCGACGCTCTAACAGACCACAGTGTACCTGAAGAAGGCCTATTAACAAGGCCGAAAACGTTCGTACTCCTATATATATGGCTAGAAATAAGTGAGGAAGGTTTTGTGTTGATCATTTTAGAAAATGTATATAGTGTATATTTTCAATGTGTTTAGTTTAATTAATTTTATCAGTGCTAATTCAGTGGGTAATAAATTACAGTTTTACTTATATTTTATAATTTATTTTGAGTAAGTACTGCATATTGCTAATTGAAAATAATTTTTGGTGCACTTTAATGTTTAGGGATGTTCTTTCTTTACTTCACAACTGGGTGCATAGGTAGAGGGATGTGTGTTTAGAGATAGTTTAGGGATGTATTTTAAGAATTACACTGCTGGCCATTAAATTAAAATTGGTACACCATAAAGGCATCATGCAACAAATGCAAAATATGCATGAAAGGTACATGTTGGGTGCTCTGTACCTCAAGATTACCTGTCAATTTAGTCATGTCTTTATCCCATTATATTTTATGTGTACAATAAACATGATTCTGCTATTTGCCTTCCTTCATCGTGTACCAATTTTAATGGCCAGCAGTGTATATTATATTTGTTAATTATACAATAAGTTGACATTATAAAATTATAAAGTTAACTTGTAATAATTTAATGTTGAGTTTAATTGTTAATCAAAATTGATGGTTTTCAGCTTATACATGCTGAACAAAAAATTCAGAGGCTTGGACAACGTTTGAAAGATATGAAACATTCAAGTCTTGGTGCAACACCTGAAGGCAAGATTTAATTAATTTTATTAGTTTACAAAATTTTTAGTAATTTTTCTATAGTTATGAATTCACTTTTGGTCCAGCATAGCACTAGGTACCAGTGTATATGCCATGTAGGATAATAGTATAATATATGCTCTAATATAATAATAACAATAATAATAATAACTCTCCCATGGTCACCACCTGGTCATGGTGGGAGAGCCCAGTAATTTTACTGATCCATAGGGCAATGCAGGCTGGAGCACAAACTCCTAGTAGGGACCATGCCATTAAGGTCTATGGGGAGAAGTGAAGCTAAGAGTGACCACACCCACATTCTGTGGCGATATTTATCATGGTAGTAACCAGATCTAAGTATGATACTGGCTCAGATGTCGTTCAGGTTAACAAGGTCCATGTTCGTGGGTTATGCAGAGGATCACATTTGAAAAATAGGCCAGTCTCTCTTGGTTACCAATGGTGAAAGCAGCACTGGCCCAAGTGTGGCTACTGCAATGCCCTAACATATGTGAGGAACCAACCTAGCTTTAGTGTTTCTGTGGCAATGTTTCCACTGGCCACAAAGACTGGAAAACCACGACAAAGGATAAAATGGACATCAGAAACGAACGAGTTTATCATCTGTACTTACTACACCATCGCAAGACTTGAAACAAACATAACAGCAACTACACCATAGATTAACACAACAATATCCTCGCCTCACTGTCACTGAACAAAGGGTTGTTGATCAAAAAAGAACAATTATACATAGCAACCTTATCCCACAAACAACACTTGAAGTTATCAAACAACAGATTGCTGATCAAATACATCAACAGACAGAAACATTTAACATTAATGAAGATAACGAAATCCTGTCAGGATATTTCAGCAACAAGCACTGATTATAGCGAACACACGATAACTACCACTAATGATACTACAGACACTTCCTCATCCATCACTGATAACGTAGACATAGATTTAGTTAATATGCTCTCACTTATATTTCAGGAAACACTCACTAAATATACAGGTACAGATCCCACACAAAGACCCTGAATACCAAAAATCAATATGTCCAAGTAGTAGAAAAAACACTAAATTATGTAAAAACTCACTTACTACCACACTACATCCATTCAATTTCTACATTCTCAGACATTCATACATTAGTTCATGCTGTCACAGTAGCAACACACCATGGACTGAAAATACAATCGTAGACAAACACACACAAAACACAGTTCTATCACAAGCCTGCCTGGCAGAGAAGAATAGAAACACAAATAAATGACATTAGACAGCAATTAGGCAGGCTGACACAATACACTAAAAACAACATAACACCCAAATTAAAGAAACAACTCAAAAACATTTTCAAGAAAATCAAAACACACACAAAACATGAACATCACAACACACACATTACAGAATACATCGATACACTAAAACAGAAACTTGCAGCCAAAGAACGTAGACTCAAACGATACAAAACATGTACACTACGAAAACGACAAAATAAATTATTCACAAACAATGAAAAACTTTTCTACAGACAAATCAGTACCAAAACAAACATTGATACACAGCACAGTGGCACACCAACAGAAGAAGAACTCACAACTTACTGGTCTTCTCTTTGGTCCAATGCTGTTACACACAATGCTGATGCTGGATTGAGGAGGAGAACAAAAACTTGCACAACATACCAACTATGCCTTGCGCTGAAATAAATGTACTGTACACAACATCTGATAAGCTGTAATGATTTTTAAATACCATGGACATTGTTGTTTATGAGATTTTTTCAAAGCAGGAGCCTTCCAGTTAATGGAAAAAATAGTTCTTCAAATTCAAGTAACAATCAACCAAACTCACTCAAAAACTACAGAACACACAACTAGAAGACACCTAGTGTAGACAACATTCACAATTTGTAGTACAAAAAGTTTACTTCACTGTACCAGGAACTAGCTAAACACCTAACACAGTCATCATCAATCCACAAGACGTGCCAAAATTTCTTACTCTAGGCATCACCTACATGAAACCTAAAAACAACAACACTACAGACCTCACACAATACAGACCAATTACATGTCTCCCAGCACTCTACAAATTATTGACATCCTGTATCACAAACAAAATATACAAACATGCTGAAGAACATGACATTCTTACAGAACAACAAAAAGGCTGCTGTAGAAATCACAGGGGATTCAAAAAACAGTTACTTATAGATTCAGTCATTCTATGGCAAATATTGTATATTATTCCATGAAGAATAATTTTTATTATTAGGATTTTTCTTTTTATGAGAGCTATTCAAGAAAGACTGAGACAGATTTTTTTTCTCAGTTAGTATTTATTATTGGTCAACATGTACATGATCCTTTTCAAAATAGTCCTCACCAAGTACACTTGTGCATACATTTTTGCCAGTCTTCAAATACATAGTGAAAGCTGTTTTTGAACAACCCTTTTCAGAATTGCCTCTAATTGCTTTAGCATAGCAGCAGAGTTTGGAAATCAGTGCCACAGCATACTTTGAACAGGAAGCAAAAAGAGTCATAGAGTGAGATCAGTGGTGTAAGGTTGATGTGGAACACAAGAATTTTTGGGGGCCAAATATTCTGTCACATGAGACTCTGTGTTATCATGCTGGAGTGCATCCATGCATCCATGCTTCCATGCATCTTGCATATGCTTGGATGCTGTAGCATCCATGCATCCATGCTTCCATGCATCCTGCATATGCAGGTGCAATTTTTTCTTTGTGATATGTTGCTGGAAAATGTCAAGAACTGACATACTGTAATGTCTGGTAACAGCAGTGTTTGGTGCTACTGCGTACTTATATATCATACCAAGATGATTGAAGAAGGTATTCCCCATAACTTTTCCAGCAGATAACAACATTAGTCTTTTTCAGGGTTGGTGATGAGAATTGATTTTCAAAGAGATTCTTGATCTCTTGATTCATGCTTCTATCTGTGCCACTGCTAGTGACCATAGCATCATCTCATAATTAAGTTTGGTTTTTATATGTCTCTCTTTTAAAAGACACTCTCTTTTAAATATATTATTTTCCCAGTGATATCTATCATTGGTGGGTAATTTATAAAAAACTCAGTCTCAGTCTTTCTTGAACAGACCTTGTACTTTCTGAAATACTAAAATCAATTATTTCTAATTATCAGAAACTGTCCAGAAACTTTTCAAATTTATTTATCTATTCAAAAAGCTTCATAAAATGCATTTATATTAAAAACAAGTTTATTACTAAGTATATTGTATTCTTTTTATTTTAAATATTCAATAATTTTTAATATTTCTTAGATAATCGGTGTTAAAATTTTATGCTGTTTGATTACATTCCAGTTTAAAGCAGAGATTGAGAATTTGTTCTTCCATACTGACTTTCATTGCTGTGATTTGGATCATTGAGTCAGATTTATTTTATGAATTGCTATTTGTCTAACCAAAAACAATGTCACTTTTATTTGGCTGGATAAAGTATCTTTATCCAGTCAAATAAAAGTCAAACAAAATAGTATATAAACATGTGTATATAAATAGCTATAATAAACATATGTATTCATTTTCATTTGCAAATTTAATAATTATATAAATATGTTCAATAGAAAGTGCAAAAATTAGTTTGAGCAGGCTGCTCAAATTGTTTCATGCTGTATACTGTTATGAAAAATTTCAACTTAAGGAATTCATATTGTAATGAGATAAAAAAAATTGACTTTCATCATAAATATAAAATCCAACATTTGAAACAGATATGAAAATGAAATAATTTTTGTAATTCTATTGACTATTGAGATAACAGATATTGAAATACGATTTTTAATGTCAAGTTTTAATTTGTTAATGATAATTTTGTGCACCATCCATAATCCATAACAAATTATTAAATTGATTTCTCACTTTTGACTACATTAATTTCAGAGCAGACAAACCATTCAAAAAGTTTTTCAAAACTTAGATTCATTATATTATAAAGCTACTATATTCTGTTTTCAAAAAGCTTCTATAAATATTTTCACTTATTGGTTTATAGAAAATAATTTATTTTAAGGCTTATATTACTATTTTTGAATATATAAAAATTTTTGAACTGTTCAGTTTCAGTTTACATTTTAATGAAATCTAAACTCACCTGATATTAAAGCTGCCATAATCTTTAGATGATACAACTTTATATGATTATCAGAATTATAAAATCTTTATAGGAATTTTTTTATTTTAGAAATTATTATTATTTTTTAAGTTTTTCTCTGGTTTCATCTCTAAATGAAAATCAAAAGGCACTATCAGAATAGTTCAGTTTGGCCTTTAGATTCAACCAAACCAAATTAAAAAACTAAAATGTATTATTTTTACCAAAATTTAACAAAATTTAATATTTTTTTAAATAATGTATTTTATGGGGAAAGTATAAGTTATCAATATAAGCATTCCAAAATTATTTTTGATGTATTTTAAAAATTCATAAACCAGATTTATTCACTATTTTAATGAACATAAATTTTAATTAAATATTAAAATTAGTAAATGAAATAATATTTATATTATGAATATNTAATTATACCAAATTTAACAACAAGAATAACATTTAATAATAATCAAACTAGAGATCTTATTTTTTCTACCTTTATACGGAAAAAACAACAAAGTCTACTAGAGGAATGGCAAAACATACAGATTTCTCCAGATTTAACTAACAACTTAAGAAATAGAAGGAAACATTTACTGCCAAATTTTTATGAATTACATAAACAAAACCCTCAGGTAAAATTGCGAAATGACATCTTAGTAATTGATCGTGAAAAGCTAACTTATAATTTCAACACGGGAAAACTGGTGCATATAGATACCTTTCTTCCATCATCAAGAATGGTAAATTTAACTAAATGATATATTAATAAGCAAGATAAAACTCAATCTGGCAAACTCTACCCTAATAATCAATGCCTCTCAATTATAAACTGGAATAGTCAAGGACTTAAATATAAAATACTACAAATAGATGCCTTTATTTCTTAATATGATCCAGATATTATTGCCATCATTGAAACCTGGATATGTTCTGAAATAGTCTACAATTCTACCTTCTTTGAAAAATTTACAATAGAGTCAGCTTTGGCAAAAAAAACCAATAGATCCAGGCCTCCCAAGTGGAGGCCTTTGTATATTAATAAAGAAAGGTCTTTGCAAATTTTACAAAAAAAAAAATAAAAAAATCTAATAATTTCATTCTTCTCCTTGTTCAAATCATTAAATCTGCTCTTGCTAATATTACGAATAATTTAATGCTTACCTATATTTCACCGGATGACATAATTACTTTGAATGAAATAACTAAACAAATGGAGATCTGGCAAAATATGACTCCTTATTCCATAATTTTGGGCAATTTCAATGCAAGAATTGCGGATAATATGGATTCTAAAGAAAATAATGCTTATAGAATTTATATTTTTTTTGTCAAATACACTGAAAAAATTACTTTGTAATATTAATTATTTGATTTACATTGTTGTTCTAAATCATTGATAATGTATCATTAAGTTACTTTATGTTTGTATTGTCTAAATTCACCAAATAATGTTATTGTAATTTAAGTGGTCTTGCTAGACCATGCTATGTTATAATTAATACACTTATTTGTAATATGTATATTAATCATGTAGACCGAAATAGTATTTATTGTGAAATTTGTATTCCCCCGTAATAGGGAAAATTTCCCTTGGAAATAAAATATTATTATTATTATTATTATTATAAGCTAATTATTTTATTTAAAGATTGGAATTAAATGAAATAATATATATTTTTATTTCCAAAGGTTTACTGCAAAAATTAGAAGAAGAAGTTAGAGTTAATAGTTATTTAGTTAAAGACAAATTACCTAATGGAATAGCATCATCTCAACGTTATTTGCAAGATCTTCAAAAAGTTGTCACAGAACCTGCTATGGGTCAAGCAGATTTAGATAAATTGAATAGTAAGGTATAAAATATTTTTTTATAATATTTTTAATTTTTAACATATATTTTTAGCTAGTTTATTCTTTTAAATTATATCATATGTATCTTGCTCATGCATTGATAAAATGATGTATTAGTATTGAACTAATGAATCTGCACTCTTTACTTTGTCTTAATAACTATTTAAATTAACATTGATAATTACTGTTATTGTATAATAAAATTGTATCTTAATTTCCAAACAATGAAAAATAATTGGATTAAAGATCTAGAAAAGGTCTAGGTCAGATTCTCAAATGTGACAACCAAGAAAATTTCATATGGCTACTAGGTCAATTTTGCATGTTTTTCCAATACAGGGAGATGATTTTGTAACTTTTTCACTCAGTATCATCAAAATATATGCTATTTTGGATAGTTTGTGACTGAAGTTCTTCTTAAATAATAAAATTGTAAATACAATGGAATGCAAATGATATTGTAATAGATTCTTATGTTTTCACTTAGGTGTGGCCATGAGTAGTTGTACATGTTAAAATGTTAAAATGTTTCTTGAGAACCTGGTCTAGATTATGCCTCTGTACCAATTCTATCTTTATAACAAGTAACTTTTGAAACTATTATTGGTGGTACCATAGCTTAAATCTAAATTATTTTTGTGCAGATTTTCTCTCTGTAACAGCCATAAAACTTTAGTAAATTTTTTATAAACTGTAATATTTATTATGAATATGATAGCTTCTACATTTATTGACATTTTTCTGCTTAAAAAGATTGTGAATGTGTTTAACTGTTGTTTTATATGCAGTCATCTATTTATTGTATTTTATTGACTTTCATTGCTTTACATCAAAATTCAAAATCGATGCTTTGAACTTTAGCTTAATTTCTTTCTATTTTTAATATTTTTAAAGAACTCATTTACAACTTTTTCTCAAATTATTGATTTCATGATAAATTGTGTGCTATACATTTCTGTGTGTTAATATATTTAACCCATCCAGAGCTCCTCTATGCATTATTGAAAGATTAACTTTTTCTGTATTTATATGTATTTCTTATTCTTCATTTATATCTTCTTGAAAACTTTCAACACTTATTTTGAAATTTTTATTATATCTAAATTTCATTATACATATTCATCATAATATATTGAATAATTAATAACATTTTAATATCACTTACTTTTCTAGTTGTATAAAATGTTAATTTTCTCCAATTATCTCTCTCTTCAGATTAACCTCTTATAAAAAGTGGAAACAGTAATAAAATAAGATGTATATATGTATACATTTATATATATGAAAGAGCTAATAAATAAATAGGATGATTTACATAACATTTTTTAACATATTACACATAATTTAAATAAGTAATCATTAAAGTATAACTTTATTAATTAAATGACTAATAAGAATCTTTGATCCTATTATTTAAGAGAATCTATAGTATATATTTTTGTTTTCCATGTGTAACTTTACTATACATCTGTTCTACATTTAGTCTTTAAAGAACTGTAGTTAGTAAAACTTGTTTGTTTTTTTAATTGTAATACTTTATTCCTTTGTTGTTTATTAGAGATTTACAGATTCACTTGAATTCACTTTGATGTATGTTATTGTTGCATTTATTGTACAGTCGACCCCCCGTATAAGATCATTGATTATTCCGTTTTATATGAATTCCATGTTGTACGAGTCACTTAGATTTTACAAATACGTGTACCGGGCTGTGAAAGGCTCACGTATTTGTAAAATTTAAGTGACTTGTACAACATGGAATTCATATAAAACGGAATAATCAATGATCTTATACGGGGGNATGAATACTATCCACATAATAGCTTTGGAATATACATAAAAAGTAGCTTTGGAATATAATTATGTCAAAAGTGTTGTATATCTTTTTTAAATTTATTCATAAGCACTCATATTTTTTCAAAAATGTAAAATTAATATCCTAAATTTGGTCAATAAAACAAAATATTAGTTATATTTAATATGGTAAAACATCTCTTACCATATTGAATATTTTAAAATACCACATCATTATAGTTTACATGGTGGTTTGTTTTTTATTATTTTATGTACAGTACATACATACACATATGTAATGGTACAATTTCAAGGGACACAGTAATTATTAGTACACCGAAATTTTTAGTATTTTGACAGCTTGAATCAATATACCAAGTATTTGGTCTACATCTCATTTGAAAATATGATCTAATTAGTTGAATAAATATTTTCTTTCTTGTTAGAAGAAATGAGTTAATCTGAATTTGTTGCCTTTATAGCTTTATGTTTCAGTTTATAATATGGGATTTTATTTCTCTCATGACATTCCATTATAATCTTATTGTTATAAAGTGCTAATGTGTAAACTCCTTGATATAAAATATAATATCCTACAAATTTATACAAAATATTTGTAAAATATTTTCATAATTATATAATATACATAGAATTACTAGAGAATTTTATAAACTATATCTATGGAGCATAAATGTTTTATTATTATAGTTTGCTACATACAAATGAAAACTTTACAGTAATATTCCACTTAAGGCATCATATATTATAATAATGCTTGTATCTAGAACATTATTTTTCATAGATATTACAAAACAATTATGAAAATCTATAATATAGGAATCTGAATAATGAAAATTTATTAAGAACAGGTATTTTTGTATTTTAAATTTTGTATATTAAATTTTATTAATGTTAATAATATAAATTTCCACAGGAAGTGCAGAAGTTTCAGGATGAAATATCAAGCAATGAATCTCGCTATCATTATTTGTGTTGCTGTATAGAAATGTCAGAACTGAAAGATCAAATGATTGCAGATGAAATCAAAACTTATGTATCCAGTGATCCAAAAGAGAAGAAAAAATCTATGAGGTAATTGTAAATTGTATTTAAATATTCAAATAATTATAAAAATTTATCAAAAGAATTTATTGGTAGAGAGCAATTAAATAAGAGGATACAAGAACAAGAAGTTTTGTCTAAACAATTGAAAGAACAACAAAAAGATATCAGGGAAAATCAAGAAGCAAATCAAAAACAAATGAAAATGTGGAGTGATTTGCAACGTTTGATGGAATGCAAAAAGAAATGCTGGGAAGATGCACAGTCCAAGAAAGCTGCTGCCCCTCCATCAGTTGTCAGTGATAGATTGGTCCTCTAAGTCAAAACAGCAAAAAAAAATAAAACTATTGCACTTAAATTCAAAGGATTATTCCATCCATTTGTATAGTTTATTTATTATTGTTATAAAAATAATATTTATTTGTATAAACATGCAAAGATTTCACCAATATTTTAATATAAAGCATTGCTTATACACCGTATTAAAAGTTTTAAAATTCTTATATAATTTATGAACACAATAAAAAATTTTGTTTTTATTTATTTTGTGTATCTATCAGATCACCAAATTAATTATTAACATTTGATAAAATTTCAGAATATTCAGTGTTATAAATCCTAATACACTTAATATTTTAGAATTATTAAAACAGATTACATTTCCACTTTTTTCATAAATTATTGTGTAACTAATATTGATTTTATATTAGATATTTAATAATGTGATGCTTCATTAGTAGAATGCACTTTGTCCTATGCCCTGAAGTTGTAGTTCATTCAGTACTGAAAAAGGAATCATATAAAACATCTTTATTTCTGTTTATGAATTGAAAACAATCAAAAATTATTTTGAGGTGGCCATATTGCATAAAAGGTCAAATACTGTGTAGTAGCAGTGGCATGCTGTCCATGGAAGCTGTGGAAGTGCCGCTTCCCTTGCTTCCTATTTTCTAATATATAAATACATATTGTGCGATTATTTTCATATTTTAACATACTTTGAATTACTTAAAATTAATATTTTATTAGAACCGCATTATGTATCTTATTACAAATTTCTATACTACATGTAAAAGCAATGATAAAATTGCCATTGTATATTCGAATATCATGGCATATTGCACAGCATGGCACAGCATGGCATATTCCCAATGGAAGTGCCGTATTGTCGAATATGGGGACCTTCCACGGCGAAAATATCTGAATAGTGTGGAGCAGCCAGATTACATGCATTCGCGCAAGGGCTTTACAGAGCACCAACCTCGGGCGGTTTAGCTGGTGGATGCTACACTCCAAAATATCGTATAACGCTTCCAATGATTCTATCCAAAGCCGGCACAGCTTCCCTATCATCAAATGTCACCGCACGCCACTGTTTTATAGGCTGTGTTATTTATGGTTCCTTTGACTTTGTTCCCGTTCTACAGTTCTGTTAAGGTCATTCACATCTGAAATTGTGCCTGTTATAGTAATAATAAATATAAATATATTGTCATAATTGTAATATTGTAGCAAAGAATTCGAATTATTACTTGATTAATATAAAGCAACTTGCGAAATTGAATTAAGATTCTATTGTTGTATTGCGTGCTATTTTCTTGAGTGACAGGCAGAAGAATTAAATGCGTTTTAAGGTCTCATGCCAAAATAATTTCAAATGCAAAATTATAATGTATATTTATTTATTGCTTTTATATTTTTATATAATAAAAACTGATTAAAAATCGGCTTTAAATATTCACTATTATTCATTTTTTCTTCATTGGAAGGAAATAATTCATATTATTTTTCTTCACATGTAACTCATTTTAATTACAATAAAATAAATTCAAGGTTCACATTGTGATGAAAAAATTTAATTATTCTCATTTTGGTTGCTTGTCGTTCATATTTTACCTTAATAATTTAAAATCACTTTTAACTTGCAGAATTTACATTAGAAAATATGCAAATATCCTGAATTTCGGCTCGACTTTTTAAATTTAATCTGAATTTTTGCAAAATCTTCATTTAAAAATTAAAATTTAATTCAAAAAAGAACTTTGTTTATTCAAGAACAACTAGCAGATTTTAATTACAAAAATATTTAAATTACTTTCTATCGAATACTTTTTAATGTAATACAGTATATAAATTATTCGGGAGACTATCCGCTGTTTCGACGTAATTAATTTTTCTTCTGTTTTTAGATAAGCTCTTCGGGTTATTATGTCTTAGGGAGTAAAGAGAAAGACGTTTTCGCAGACTGTCCCGAAGAGAACACCAAGTAGACCAAGAATGAGTAGTCCTGGCCAAGATGAGGAAGTCGGGAAATTATTACAAGATCAGAATTTTGATGTAAAGGAGGGAGTTCGGTTATTATTACGCATGCATGTTGCTGTTAATAGTAAAATTGAGGAATTTATAAGTCGATTCGAACATTTCACGGAATGGTTTAAAATGTGGATGAAGCACTCGTTCATTTTGAGACAATATTAGTTGATATCGAGTCAAGGGTGGGAGAAGGGGAGGAACTTCCCTATTGATAATATCAGTAAGAAATTGTCGGATTTGGAACGCGAGATGGACAATATCGATAATCAACAAAAAATTAATAATGGATTAGAGGAAGGGATTGGTGAATCAGTGATAGACACTTTGGAGGTAGTTAAATCTTTCGCTACAAATAAGCTGAATTTGCCATTGTTGCAATATGCAAATGCTAGACGAGTAGGTAAAAAATAGTTCCTTTAATGATAAATTAACGTTTAAAAAGGCAACTTTTGAGAATCGCAATTTGTATTTCTTGATGATTTTTCACAACGATTAAGGGACATTAGGTATAAGTTAAGGATGTTCGGAAAACAAAAAAATCTGAAGATTTATGTAATATTCGTTTGACTTATGATAAAGTAATTATCGATGGATTGAAATATGGATTTGATGAGGAATCAGGTAAAATTCCCATTTCTACATAGCAATCATTGGTCCAGTCTACATCTATCATGGCTTGGAATTGTGCGGGTATTAATTAAAAATAAACCAAATTCTTTTTAGAAATATTTATCGAAATTTGATGTAATTTTTTTTGTCTGAAACCTGGTACTGTACTTTTTAATAGTAACAAAAGTAATTTGGAGGTATTAACGGATTACAATTGTATTATTGGCGATGCATTTAGGGATTGTAATAGGGGTAAATTGGGGTAATAGGGGTGATTGGGGTAATAGTTGTATCTAACTTGGGATGTAATAGGGATTGTAATACGGCCGATGCATTTAGGGTTTATAATAGGAGTAGACATAAACAAAATACAGTAATAAATGGATGGATGTTTATTATTTTGTTTGTTATGTCTGATTTTTAATGTAATTTATAGAGAGATTTTTAGTTTTGATTAACATTATACTTCCTGTGGGTAAACTTTTGGTGTTTCGTTTACATGCAAGAACAAAGTTGGCAGGAAATTCTTAAGATTTTAATTTTTACTTTAATGAATTTTATTTGATTATTTTGGGTGATTTTTAATGCTCGTGTGAGTGAAGGAAATGTTATTCCTGACAGTTTCTGTGATGCCTTTGATATTAATCTTGATAAGAGAGGTAGGGTATCCAAGGATATTATTGTGAATAGTAGAGGTCAGAAGATGCTTCAGTATTGGGCGTATTCAAAATCTCAGTGCGCAGCCAACACCTCTGTTTAAAATCTCAGACAACTTCCGGTTGCTGTCAGCGTGTTTCCAACAAAGTAAGAGTCTTTTTCGGTACTGGATACAACAGCAAACAAGATGACAGCCATCATGAGGCTCGTAAGAGCTCTAACTTTCATTGACAATTTTGAATTTAATTTATTTGTTAATGAATAAACATTGAATAAATTAAAATTCGGTTAGTACANTGTTTTGATATAATTAAAATATCTAAAATATCTAATGCCTAATATATATAATTCTAATAGGCCCAAGTTGTAAAATTATCATTACATATTTTAAATTTTAACTCTTATAATATATCAGGCATCTGTTGAAGAGCAAAAAGGTGTTGGAGGATATCATGTTACTCAAGAAGTATTAGAAAAAGTTTCTTCTACTAAAGCTGAGTTAGACAAACAGAAAAGTCAAACATTAACTGAAATGTCTGCTATGGTAAGACGACTGAATGGAAAAATTGCAGAAAAGAAAGCTCGTCTTGCACCAATAATTAAAGAATTGCGGCCTCTTCGTCAGCAATGCCAAGTTAGTCTATTTGTGTTTTTACATTATATTTTGATTTAAAAATACAGAAATAAATTGTGTTGAAACTAGAATATTTACTTTTGAGTTTTAAATTAATATTAAACAAAATGCTTAGAGAATTCATTGAATATAAAAGACAAGTATATTTTGTATTATTTAATATTAGTCTTCTTTTACCAGGTTTAATTTTCATATAAAACTGAACTTTTTTTGACTCTGTTAAAAAATTAAAAATAAGCTTACAAAATTTTTCTGTGTTTACAATAAACTAATTTTATTATTAAATTATTTCAGAAATTAATTACTGTATGTACAGTAGAGCGTCAATTTTCTGAAAGTCAGTCATCCGAAAGAATTCCAGTCGGCAGATTTAAATTTTCGCCAGTGCTGTGGCGCTTCAATATTTGGCTATGTCTTGGGCTACTCAAATATTTTTCGTTTTTGATACTAAATTAACTTCTGAAGTATAATTTTTTATTATTTTTATATTTTTCAATATATTTATTTTGTTCATACAAAATAAAAAAAGAATTTTTAACGATACAATAGTCTTTGTTAGGCTTAACATCGACGAAAATTCAACGCGAAGCGACACACAACGGATAAAAATTTCGACATCAGATACGTTAAACTATTTTTTCGTACGTAAATCAGTTATCCGAAATATTAGTTATCCGGACAACCCCAGTCCCCAATTGATTCGGAAAATCAACGCTCTACTGTATTTATATAGATATATTTTTTTGATTACTTCTCTTCCAATAAACTCTTCTGCTTTTGATTACAATCAGCATTCATAGAGAAATATTTTTTAAAGATTTGACAATGTTTTATATTTGTCAATGATTGATATAATTTGTGTGTCATGTATATTTTAAGTTATTAATATAAAAATTTAATATTAGGATATGACTTTTGAATATGAACAGAAGAAATCTGCTTATGATTCTTGTGCTGCTGGATTGGATAGTGGTTTATCAAAATTAGAACAGGTAATACATCTTTTATAAATGTGAAAAATTATTTTGACTTGTATTAGGAATTTATGTCAATGTTAAAAATACCTATAAAATAAAAAAAGTCATATGTAATAGGAGATAAAGTATTAAAGTAATTCCAAATATATATAAAAATCAAAGTTAAACTTATTCATTACAGAATTATTTTTGAATTTGCTAATTTATTATTGATAAAATCTGTTCTGATACTCAACAATAAAAAAATCTTTGAGAAATGTTTTCAATCAAAATAAAGACATTTCTCAAAGATTTCTTTTTTTACTATTGGCTTTCTTAATTAGCTTTTTTCTGTTTTTTGTTTGTTTGTTAACAGTTCTCATTATGAAAAAGTTGCTTCAAATAATCATAAACAAGAATAAGCATTTGAATTGATCATTTGAAGCTGTTTGATATTTTTTTTCTGAAGATTGCATTTGATATGCATGATGGTGAATTTAAAAAAAGATTATTTTGATGTAAATAGTAATTTTGGCTGTATGTTAAAACAGTATGTTTTGGATTTTCTAACAAGTAACTTGCAAAGTTTTATAATGTTTATTCAACTGATAACATTATATGTTATATCTGTCTAAACAAATAAATTTACATTTAATGTTAAAATTTTATAGAATTAACAACTATAAATTAGAAATTCACTATATTTTTCTACTAATTAAATGAAGAGAAAATATTTAAACTTGCTATTGTTATAACAACAAGTTTATATGCTAGTTGTTTCTGGATGGTACTCTCCCATTAATTTATTATAAATGTATTGAAATTGGAACAGTTTTACTGCAAAAATTTAAAATTAACATGAATACTATCCACATAATAGCTTTGGAATATACATAAAAAGTAGCTTTGGAATATAATTATGTCAAAAGTGTTGTATATCTTTTTTAAATTTATTCATAAGCACTCATATTTTTTCAAAAATGTAAAATTAATATCCTAAATTTGGTCAATAAAACAAAATATTAGTTATATTTAATATGGTAAAACATCTCTTACCATATTGAATATTTTAAAATACCACATCATTATAGTTTACATGGTGGTTTGTTTTTTATTATTTTATGTACAGTACATACATACACATATGTAATGGTACAATTTCAAGGGACACAGTAATTATTAGTACACCGAAATTTTTAGTATTTTGACAGCTTGAATCAATATACCAAGTATTTGGTCTACATCTCATTTGAAAATATGATCTAATTAGTTGAATAAATATTTTCTTTCTTGTTAGAAGAAATGAGTTAATCTGAATTTGTTGCCTTTATAGCTTTATGTTTCAGTTTATAATATGGGATTTTATTTCTCTCATGACATTCCATTATAATCTTATTGTTATAAAGTGCTAATGTGTAAACTCCTTGATATAAAATATAATATCCTACAAATTTATACAAAATATTTGTAAAATATTTTCATAATTATATAATATACATAGAATTACTAGAGAATTTTATAAACTATATCTATGGAGCATAAATGTTTTATTATTATAGTTTGCTACATACAAATGAAAACTTTACAGTAATATTCCACTTAAGGCATCATATATTATAATAATGCTTGTATCTAGAACATTATTTTTCATAGATATTACAAAACAATTATGAAAATCTATAATATAGGAATCTGAATAATGAAAATTTATTAAGAACAGGTATTTTTGTATTTTAAATTTTGTATATTAAATTTTATTAATGTTAATAATATAAATTTCCACAGGAAGTGCAGAAGTTTCAGGATGAAATATCAAGCAATGAATCTCGCTATCATTATTTGTGTTGCTGTATAGAAATGTCAGAACTGAAAGATCAAATGATTGCAGATGAAATCAAAACTTATGTATCCAGTGATCCAAAAGAGAAGAAAAAATCTATGAGGTAATTGTAAATTGTATTTAAATATTCAAATAATTATAAAAATTTATCAAAAGAATTTATTGGTAGAGAGCAATTAAATAAGAGGATACAAGAACAAGAAGTTTTGTCTAAACAATTGAAAGAACAACAAAAAGATATCAGGGAAAATCAAGAAGCAAATCAAAAACAAATGAAAATGTGGAGTGATTTGCAACGTTTGATGGAATGCAAAAAGAAATGCTGGGAAGATGCACAGTCCAAGAAAGCTGCTGCCCCTCCATCAGTTGTCAGTGATAGATTGGTCCTCTAAGTCAAAACAGCAAAAAAAAAATAAAACTATTGCACTTAAATTCAAAGGATTATTCCATCCATTTGTATAGTTTATTTATTATTGTTATAAAAATAATATTTATTTGTATAAACATGCAAAGATTTCACCAATATTTTAATATAAAGCATTGCTTATACACCGTATTAAAAGTTTTAAAATTCTTATATAATTTATGAACACAATAAAAAATTTTGTTTTTATTTATTTTGTGTATCTATCAGATCACCAAATTAATTATTAACATTTGATAAAATTTCAGAATATTCAGTGTTATAAATCCTAATACACTTAATATTTTAGAATTATTAAAACAGATTACATTTCCACTTTTTTCATAAATTATTGTGTAACTAATATTGATTTTATATTAGATATTTAATAATGTGATGCTTCATTAGTAGAATGCACTTTGTCCTATGCCCTGAAGTTGTAGTTCATTCAGTACTGAAAAAGGAATCATATAAAACATCTTTATTTCTGTTTATGAATTGAAAACAATCAAAAATTATTTTGAGGTGGCCATATTGCATAAAAGGTCAAATACTGTGTAGTAGCAGTGGCATGCTGTCCATGGAAGCTGTGGAAGTGCCGCTTCCCTTGCTTCCTATTTTCTAATATATAAATACATATTGTGCGATTATTTTCATATTTTAACATACTTTGAATTACTTAAAATTAATATTTTATTAGAACCGCATTATGTATCTTATTACAAATTTCTATACTACATGTAAAAGCAATGATAAAATTGCCATTGTATATTCGAATATCATGGCATATTGCACAGCATGGCACAGCATGGCATATTCCCAATGGAAGTGCCGTATTGTCGAATATGGGGACCTTCCACGGCGAAAATATCTGAATAGTGTGGAGCAGCCAGATTACATGCATTCGCGCAAGGGCTTTACAGAGCACCAACCTCGGGCGGTTTAGCTGGTGGATGCTACACTCCAAAATATCGTATAACGCTTCCAATGATTCTATCCAAAGCCGGCACAGCTTCCCTATCATCAAATGTCACCGCACGCCACTGTTTTATAGGCTGTGTTATTTATGGTTCCTTTGACTTTGTTCCCGTTCTACAGTTCTGTTAAGGTCATTCACATCTGAAATTGTGCCTGTTATAGTAATAATAAATATAAATATATTGTCATAATTGTAATATTGTAGCAAAGAATTCGAATTATTACTTGATTAATATAAAGCAACTTGCGAAATTGAATTAAGATTCTATTGTTGTATTGCGTGCTATTTTCTTGAGTGACAGGCAGAAGAATTAAATGCGTTTTAAGGTCTCATGCCAAAATAATTTCAAATGCAAAATTATAATGTATATTTATTTATTGCTTTTATATTTTTATATAATAAAAACTGATTAAAAATCGGCTTTAAATATTCACTATTATTCATTTTTTCTTCATTGGAAGGAAATAATTCATATTATTTTTCTTCACATGTAACTCATTTTAATTACAATAAAATAAATTCAAGGTTCACATTGTGATGAAAAAATTTAATTATTCTCATTTTGGTTGCTTGTCGTTCATATTTTACCTTAATAATTTAAAATCACTTTTAACTTGCAGAATTTACATTAGAAAATATGCAAATATCCTGAATTTCGGCTCGACTTTTTAAATTTAATCTGAATTTTTGCAAAATCTTCATTTAAAAATTAAAATTTAATTCAAAAAAGAACTTTGTTTATTCAAGAACAACTAGCAGATTTTAATTACAAAAATATTTAAATTACTTTCTATCGAATACTTTTTAATGTAATACAGTATATAAATTATTCGGGAGACTATCCGCTGTTTCGACGTAATTAATTTTTCTTCTGTTTTTAGATAAGCTCTTCGGGTTATTATGTCTTAGGGAGTAAAGAGAAAGACGTTTTCGCAGACTGTCCCGAAGAGAACACCAAGTAGACCAAGAATGAGTAGTCCTGGCCAAGATGAGGAAGTCGGGAAATTATTACAAGATCAGAATTTTGATGTAAAGGAGGGAGTTCGGTTATTATTACGCATGCATGTTGCTGTTAATAGTAAAATTGAGGAATTTATAAGTCGATTCGAACATTTCACGGAATGGTTTAAAATGTGGATGAAGCACTCGTTCATTTTGAGACAATATTAGTTGATATCGAGTCAAGGGTGGGAGAAGGGGAGGAACTTCCCTATTGATAATATCAGTAAGAAATTGTCGGATTTGGAACGCGAGATGGACAATATCGATAATCAACAAAAAATTAATAATGGATTAGAGGAAGGGATTGGTGAATCAGTGATAGACACTTTGGAGGTAGTTAAATCTTTCGCTACAAATAAGCTGAATTTGCCATTGTTGCAATATGCAAATGCTAGACGAGTAGGTAAAAAATAGTTCCTTTAATGATAAATTAACGTTTAAAAAGGCAACTTTTGAGAATCGCAATTTGTATTTCTTGATGATTTTTCACAACGATTAAGGGACATTAGGTATAAGTTAAGGATGTTCGGAAAACAAAAAAATCTGAAGATTTATGTAATATTCGTTTGACTTATGATAAAGTAATTATCGATGGATTGAAATATGGATTTGATGAGGAATCAGGTAAAATTCCCATTTCTACATAGCAATCATTGGTCCAGTCTACATCTATCATGGCTTGGAATTGTGCGGGTATTAATTAAAAATAAACCAAATTCTTTTTAGAAATATTTATCGAAATTTGATGTAATTTTTTTTGTCTGAAACCTGGTACTGTACTTTTTAATAGTAACAAAAGTAATTTGGAGGTATTAACGGATTACAATTGTATTATTGGCGATGCATTTAGGGATTGTAATAGGGGTAAATTGGGGTAATAGGGGTGATTGGGGTAATAGTTGTATCTAACTTGGGATGTAATAGGGATTGTAATACGGCCGATGCATTTAGGGTTTATAATAGGAGTAGACATAAACAAAATACAGTAATAAATGGATGGATGTTTATTATTTTGTTTGTTATGTCTGATTTTTAATGTAATTTATAGAGAGATTTTTAGTTTTGATTAACATTATACTTCCTGTGGGTAAACTTTTGGTGTTTCGTTTACATGCAAGAACAAAGTTGGCAGGAAATTCTTAAGATTTTAATTTTTACTTTAATGAATTTTATTTGATTATTTTGGGTGATTTTTAATGCTCGTGTGAGTGAAGGAAATGTTATTCCTGACAGTTTCTGTGATGCCTTTGATATTAATCTTGATAAGAGAGGTAGGGTATCCAAGGATATTATTGTGAATAGTAGAGGTCAGAAGATGCTTCAATATTGGGCGTATTCAAAATCTCAGTGCGCAGCCAACACCTCTGTTTAAAATCTCAGACAACTTCCGGTTGCTGTCAGCGTGTTTCCAACAAAGTAAGAGTCTTTTTCGGTACTGGATACAACAGCAAACAAGATGACAGCCATCATGAGGCTCGTAAGAGCTCTAACTTTCATTGACAATTTTGAATTTAATTTATTTGTTAATGAATAAACATTGAATAAATTAAAATTCGGTTAGTACAGTACATTAATAGATTATTTTAATATATTAGTATATTTACGTACGACATCACATAATTTGTTTTAGTTGTTAAAGTGTAATATTAGGAATGATTTAGTTATTTAAAACTCCTACGGAAATTAAAAAATTGTCATACCTCTTTCTCTTTTCGAAATATTAATTTTTCATTAAGTTGTTCTCATTAAATAAGTTCAAAAATAAATTTGACGTTACGTGGAATTCCACATTATTATTACTGTATTATTATTATTATTTTTTTTTTTTGGTCTTTCTTTCCCGATATTCCCGGCAGTTAGTGTTTGTGTTCTCTTGAAAATGCCAGCGGTTGCGTCACTTCCGGCAGCATCTCGCTGGATAGATGCCGAGATTTTGAATACTCCCATTGCCTTGATAAAAATTTAATTATGTTAAATGGAAGAATATTAAGTGATGAAGCAGGCGAATATACATTTGTATCTAACTTGGGATGTTCGGTTATTGATTTTGGTTTAATAACTCCATGTGTTTGGGGTTGTGTCGGGTCTTTTTTTCGTTGATTGTTATTTCTCGTACCATTGTCCTTTTGATATTGTGTTTGGACAATCCGTTGCAACCTCAAGTTAATAACATTGATATTTTTTACGAAAGAATCTTCTGGAACGGCGAGGTGATGAACAATTTTGTGTGTGATATTGAGAAACGGGTACTCTTTGGTTAACGAGACACCAGTCAGTCGATAAAATCCGATTCGTGTTTAGGCCTACATCTTAATACAGTAGAGCATCGATTATACGACTCAATTGGGGACTGGGGTTGGTCGGATAATTGAAAAGTCGGATAACCGAAAAGTATGAAATAATCCATTATTAGTGTAGTACAGTACTTTCGTTTTCGAGAATTTTTGGAAAAACTTTTTCCCATAGAAAAAGCATTAGATTTTTAACGCCATCCGCTGGAGATCACGTGCATAACAAAAAAAGACTACAATCAGCCTTAAACGCATCTTATAATAGGCATCCGTCCGGCTATTGATTGTAAATCAAAACTCCAGTTTCCTGTTTTCCTTATTTATTCTTAAATTGCTAACCATTGTCAGCATTAAGCACAATAGACCTATTAGTAGATAAGTATCTACAGTCTAACGTGTAATCATAATTTTATAACTAAGAAAACAATGCTTACATTATTTATTATTAAATTTAATTATATACTGATTGGCTACAAAATTCTTATTTGTGAGAATTTCTATTATTGGTCTTTCAGTAGCCTTAAATGAACAAGAATTGAACGTGGATATGATATGGACTCTTTGAAGTTCTTAAGAACTCTCTTTGGGGCACTGTAAAAGAGAATTTCTCGAATGTTTTCCAGCCATTGAGGATCTGAAAACAATTTTTGGGGTTTGTTTTAATGGCTTCCGACCGTCAAACATGTAAGATAACTTTTAACCAGCTTATGTGAACTTTGTAGCCACTCGATGAAATAAATTAGCCTATATAAGTTATATTTTATTGCATCTGATGCTATTAGATGATAACTTAGAAATTTCTAAATTATTTGATTAATAACTTGAAGTTAAATCGAAAATGCCAGGTTGTTTGAAATTATAACTTTTACGATCTGTATTATAATTTATGCTGAACAACTTCAAGCTAATAGCTTTTACTTAGAATGCAAATATGCAAAAATATTCGGAGAAATTATGATTTAATTATTCTTAGAACGAATAGAAATTCTTGAAAATGGATAAGCGAAAGTTTATCAAAACTTTTGCATGTACATAATTTTAACTTAATTTATAAACTTCGTAGGTCTATATTTTTTTAAATTAAATTTTGTAATTTCTATTTCTCCAAAAATATCCATAGTTTATATAATTTTTATAAAGTAACGCACTGAACGCATGTTACTAGATACAATAATTATGAATTTATCAAGTTCTGTTATAACACAACATTCCATGACGTGTCTGAAAGAGGAATGTGCGTGTTTTCCATTTAAAAAAAACACGTGCATTCTTTATCACATACTAATTGTATTGCATTATTATTTTAAAATTAATAATTACAAAAATAAAAAAAATAATTACATAAATACAAAGCTATAAATGAAACAAACTTGCCATTTTAATTTTATAATCGATTTATTAAGCATACATTAATCAACAGTAGATATTAGAGCATTAATTAATTATTAATTCTTTTAGTGTTTTACATTATTTCATTCGATTAAGCAATTATTCATTTTCCTGGCTTGTGTTTTCTATGTGTTATCAATGTTAATAATTTTAAATAAATATTGATTCGCTGGTGAATTTTTAGTTGATTACTAAGATATCACTGAAATGATTACCTAAGTAATTTTTATTATATGATCCATTACAGTTTAAAATATTAATATATATATTCTTTCTTTTTTTTAAAAAAATAAAATCATTGGTTGAAAATTAAATATTTTATTAAAATTATTATACATGGTGCTCCATAAATCTGTAATCATGGGAGTTATGCGGATCATTGTTCATTCTTTTACAGGTGAAGTATAGCACTGAGTAAGAAGGAATGAATTCATGTTATTTTGATGATGGCGATCCTCAGCTAGCGCGAAGTTGCCGAAGAGTTTTTAACAGGCTGCATCCAGACAAGCTAAACAATAGCACACAGCAATCTGGATGCAGCCTGTTAAACTATTGGGCAACTTTACACAGAATGCTGATCCCCACCAACAGAATACTGTAATATGAATTCATTCCTCTTTACTCAGCATCATAATTGGCCCGTAAAAGAATAAACAAAAATCAACATAATTCCTATGGTTCCATACTTATGGGAAATGTGTGTGTGTGTTTGTTTGTAATTCTAGATTATAATAATTTTATTATTCAGAAAAGGGAAAAATACGTGAATATTCTATGAATTCTTTTGTGGAATTTTCACCGTTATCTAAAAAGTAAAGAAAATTCATTTTAAATTATACGAAAAATTACGAAAATAAAAAAATAAGAATGAACTACCAACCGCTTTAACTTCGGAATATTCTTCTAAACCGTCGGTTCCCCTTTAACGTAATTAAAATATTAATTTTAATAACTTTATAAATTAAACAAAAAATTGAATATTTACATTTCTCTTCCGTATCCGGACATTTTGAAACCACCGAAAGGTGTTTGAGAAGCAAAAGCAAAGTAACAGTTTACCCTGTAAATGAAATATAACGATAGTTAATTATTAACTATTATAAAGTTTAATTGAACAAAATTAAACGAATAGTTATTACCAAACAACACCCGCTTGAATGCCTTGAGAAAACATAATTGAATTGTTTAAATCTTTAGTGACTATTCCAGCAGCTAATCCATATTCTGTGTTGTTAGCTCTTTGAATGACTTCTTCGAGAGTTTTAAATTTCATTAGTTGTTGAACAGGCCCGAAAATTTCTTCTCGTGCTATTGTCATGTGATCTTGTACGTTAGAAAAGACAGTCGGTTGAATAAAGTATCCCACTTTTCCAAATCTCGATCCTCCGCATTCTAATTTGGCTCCTTCTTTCTTTCCGACCTCGATAAGTCCTAAAATTCTTTTGAATTGTTGTTCATTGATCTATAATAAATGTTATGTTTCCACTTTTATGCAATTTACACTTCACACCATGTTAATACAGGTATAAAGGACAAAATTATACTATTGACAAGCAGAAGTAAATTTTGCAATGCTCATATGTCTGAATGTAATGAATATCAAGAATTAAGACTGACTAGTTTTAGTCAGTCTTTTCTTAATAAAAGTATTTAATTTTCCTGGTTGAAGTAGTGAAAAGGCTTTGAATAACCGTCGAGGTTCTAAACTAATTACTTTCTGGTTTGATAACTGGATTCTTGTTTTTCTTTTTTCTATACTTTTGCCTAATTATAATTTTTTGTAATTTTTTCAAATTTTTCTACTGCCAACAAATGCGGTATTATTTGTCTACTAAATTATTTTGTATCACCTTTCAACAGGGTCTTTCCCTTTACCGAAACAACTTTAAATGTTTAAATATTATATTTTAATTGAAATGTTATAGTTGTAACTACAATTTTAATTGTTGTTGGTTGACTTGTTATAATAGTAATGATTTGTGTGAAATAAATATACAGAATACAGTAAAACAAAAATATATTCGTATAACTTATGTTTTCAGATGTGAATACTTTTACTCATAATAATAAAATGTCTTACTTGAGGTCCTTGTTCCGTTCTCTCATCAAAAGGATCGCCTACAACTCTCTTTAAAGTCCTTTCTCTACTTTTTCTTACAAATTCATCATATATATCTTCGTGGATGAATGTTCGTGTTCCGGCACAACACACTTGTCCTTGATTTTCAAATACCGCATTATGCGCCAATTCTACAGCTAAATCCACTGAATACAAAAATACACCAGTAAAACATTAATCGCTTTAACATAGACTTATCAATTATTATAAATTCCAACCATCTGCATCTGCACAAATAACTAAAGGACTCTTTCCTCCGAGCTCTAAAGTGCATCTTTTCAAATTGCTCTTAGCAGCGGTTTCTTGAATTATTTTTCCAACCTAAAATATCAAACATGTAAAAATTAGAACTGTATATATACTTATAATAAGCAATATAAACTCAATTCCGTGTAAAATAATTACGTTAGTGGATCCTGTGAAAGCGATTTTATCGATATCGGGATGAGAAGCTAATGCAGCACCAACGGTGTGCCCGTATCCGTTTATAACATTAATAACTCCGGGAGGAAATCCGGCTTCTAGAGATAGATGAGCTAAATACAAAGCAGTTAAAGGTGTAGCTTCTGCAGGTTTAATGATTATAGTATTTCCGACTGCGAGAGCGGGACTAATTTTAGCTACGGCCATGACTATAGGTGTATTCCACTGAAAATAATAATGTAAATTGTGTTGCAAATACAGTTGTTGCATTTAAAATTCAAACTTACTGGTAATATACCGGCACAGACTCCAATTGGTTCTAATCTAGTATATGTAAAGTAATCGCCATCTATAAAGTTACTCGTGTTATTTATGTTACTATAAGATCAAAATTGCCTATTTTAATTTTTATGAAATTACCTGATGGGATTGTTTTTCCATGAATTTTATCTGCACATCCAGCAAAATATCGAAGAATTTTAGCGGAAAACAATACGTTACTTCGAGATTCTTTATATGTTTTCCCCCCGTTTATACTTTCTAAAACCTAGAGTGGAATAATAATACATTAATTTAAAATGGTTTAAATAAAGAAACATAAATTTCGGTTACATTAACTGATTTACCGAAGTATATTCCACATCTCTTTCTAATAAATCAGCTAATTTGGACAGTAATACTCCTCTAGCAGAAGCATCCATAGTTCTCCACACAGACCCTAATTTAAAAGCGGCTCTGGCTGCTGCAACAGCTTTGTCCACATCAATCTATAATAAAAATTTAAACTATTACTAATTGTAACAAGTGATAACTTGTAAAATTATATTAATAACAAATGTAAACATTAAAACATACTTTATCTCCTTCCTGAACATCGCAAATCTTTTTTTCAGTGGTGGGATTAATCACTGGAAAAACTTTACCACTTACAGAATTTTCCCATTTATTGTTGATAAATAACTGAAACAAAAATAACAGAAATATAATTAAAAAGTTAAAATATAATTTTAATTTTTAATTAACTTTCTGAACTTACTTTAGTGAATTTGATAGGGACGTCTGCATTAGGAGCCATTCTCTAAGTATGGAATCAACTACACTCTTCTAGTTTCGTTTATTCTCTGACAGAGTGTGGGCAGAACTTTACTTTTAAAATACTGCTGCCGGATTGTATAATTTCGGATGATCGATGTATGATAAGGAAAAGACACGCTTACTTCCTGTTGCATGTAACCTTGAGATAAGTATTCATACCTCTAAATTTGCATTGACAATAGTAACCCTAACAACCTAAACATTGCATATGTATACTAACAGCGAAAAAACTTGACAACAATCCATAATCCATCAGAATAAAAATTATAAAGTGAAATAGAGAAAAAGTATTTGAAAATTGTTTCCTGAAAATCTTTATCCAATGACCTTGCTTTGTATTTTTTAATTCGCGAAAAATATAAACCCATTTGATAAGAGATCATCTTTTAATTAACAGAGTGTAAATCTAATAAATTAATAATTAAGTATTAACTATATTATTTAAAACCTTTCCTTTAAATAATTTTTTTATATTATCAAAAATTATTTTTTTTAATAGAATCACTCTTTACAAAATGCACTTCGGACTCATAGACCCTCAACGGTTGAGAAGCAATACCTGTACAAGAGGGAGAAAACAGGGCATTTGCCTTCCCATGGGTCGAGTAAAACATTCCACAAATTATAATCGTGATTGAGATATATAAACTTACACCATCGACTATGACTGTATTCTACAATCTACTTGTAAAATAAATCCAACAACTTAAATAAAAATTTGTCTCCGAGCTTTGTCTCCCTGGAAAATTTTCTGCGGACCCCTGCTGTACGAGGATTGTTTTTTTAATTAAAAATTCACGTATCACAAATATTCTAAAAGTTTGACACAATCGCTCATCTTTATCTTACAGTAAATTTGTACATTTAGATATACACTGCTGGCCAAGTAAAATGCAACACCTGCAATATCTAGAGGCCTACATGGTGTTGCATTTTACTTGGTCAGCAGTATATGTACTTGTAAACGGAAATCTTATCTAAATACTGTATACAAATTCATTGTAAAGTAAGATGAACAATTCATCAAACTTCTAAACTACCTCTAAGGTGTAAATTTTTAAATTAAAAAAATTCCACATAGGTACAGTTCCTGTGCAGATGACTGATGAGAGCATTTAAATGAGTGCATTAAAGAGTGGTAACAAAAATTAATTAATTAACAAAAGTAATCCTGAAAAATAATTTGTGTGATTCTCGTTCCGAAAGAAAGTACACCTTTATGTAAGTTAATTTAGTATATAATACTGTATTTTATCATGTATGCAAATCAGAAACAGGTACAGTATTGTACATACACTTATCAAGAATTTTTCCACGATCCCGTTAACTATGAACATGGGGGAAAAAAGAGAAATGAAGACAAAAATTTTATATTTAATATATAAAATAATTTTATACAAGAGACAAAACAGCATTTTGCTTGCTTAGCAGAAATAATAAGCTAAAATATCACTATTGTCAACTAAATTATAAACACTATGTAATAACAATGTATATGATTATCCTTGAAAACACGTTTTCGCTCAAATACTAAGAAGTGGATGTTATATATATAACCTTGGAATCTTTTGTCAGCTTATATAAGTTTTTATCCCATATATTTGTTAAGATAATATAAAATTTAATAAAATAGTTTCAAATATAGCAATTATCATCATATCAAATATCATAAAAAATTTTGATATAGAAAATAAATAATGAACTCAGTTTTTAGATTAGAATGTAATCTATAATTTATCTTTCAACTAGACATAATTAAGTACTCCAAAAATGGCATTGGACGTCGATTGTAGGAGTTAATTTAAATTGTTTAATTACATTTTTCATAGAGTAATTGTATTTTAAGTTTTAGTATTATTAACCTTTTAATGAATTTCTATTTTAATTAGATGTAAAACCGGTTTTTCTTAATGAGATTTTTCACTTTTACTATAAGGAATGCTTTTAATACTATTTTATAATTATTTTTTACAATATTACCTTATTAATAACTCCTTAAAATTAAAAAAAATATGTACACAACAAGAAATTTATTTTTATTGTCCCTGAAAATAAAGTTTTAATTTTATTTTTAAAAAGTATAAAATAATACTTCAATAAATATTTTATTTGATAGAATAAAATTAAACTTTTACATGCATAACAGACTGTACATGTGTACAAATCAATCTTGCTGTTGTTAACCTTGATTCACTATTGTAGCCATAGTAAAGGTGTTGACAACATTCTTTTCCTTACTTTTTTTTAATTTACTAAATATATTTTAATTAAGTGGTATATATATAATTAAAATATATATA